TCACAGTTGTTCCAAAGGGAACATTACTTGGTATTAAAGATGCATCATTTCCTCTACTTTAAAAAATAATTTATTCTATTATTTTTTCTTAGACACTGATCTTGCAACCAGGAAGTATAACATTCTACAAAGGACAGGTTCCTCCCCCAATTGCATATTTAAAATCTTATTCAGTCATTGGCCTTTATAGCAAAGGAGCCCTTTAAAAACACTCAAACTTTTGTTTTCATATATACATGAGGAAAGTAAAAGCCAGAAAGTCTTTTACTTACCCTTCTCTTCTGTTAACGCTATCATCACTAAGCAAAGTTAATACTGTGGAAAGCCATGAACTAGTATATTCCACATCATAGATAATTTGCAAGCACAGTATTATTATTGTTCAAAAAATCATTGGAAGCATCAAATTTCTACAGTTAAAAATAAGACTTTATATGCATACATGTGTATGCTCAAAAAGACATTCTTTTATTATGTGTAAATGCCGATAGAAATCCATATCGGTTCAGGTCTGATTCAACATCTGCTAATTGGATTTCAGCATATGGATTTAGTGAGCCAGTGTTCTTGTTCTTGAGTAAAAAATGTCTCTGAATGACTGCATATGACAAAGCTGATTTTTCTTTTTTAATTGATAGAATCCATAACTAAATTAGAGTTAAGCCAAGTTGACTTTGCAAAAGTAATTTTGGTTATAATGAAATAACTTTATACTTATTTTAGTGGCAGCCTTAGAACTAATGGAAAAGAAAGCAGAAATGTAGAATCCTAAGGTCTTCCAAGGGGAGAAATTCATCTTTTCTTTTTTTTTTTTTTGTCTGACAGGAATGCCCACATTATTCTGAGCCATTCTGTTTTACATCTAATTCCTAGCTGACAAGTGTCCGTCTTTCATGCTTATTTATTCGTCACCCTTGTATTCACTTTGCCTGCAAGGCATCCGGCCTGCTTTCTATCATATCTCCCCGAATGATAAAGGATATGCTTAAAATGTTAGCCACCCTCCCCTTGCAGGATAATGTGCATGCACTGAACTGAGTAGTTTCTATGTTGCACAGCTACAATATATCCTATGCCATTATACAAAGATGCTCTCCTGAAAGCAAGGAGAGAGGTTTTTATGGGAGGAATTAAAAGGTTTTTCAGGAAGTAGTATTGCTTAAGGGGATGGGGGTTAAATGTGAGATCATTTTAGAAATTAGATAAAATTTATATACAGTGTAAAGCCAAACCAATTAAACAAAGAAATGAGATAGTATTCAATGATGGCTTAGTTAAATCCGTGTCTTAAAGTAGGTGCCACTGGTTGTTACTATTCTCAGTTAAGAAGCAAAGACCACATAGGATCTGCCCTCACATAACAGGAATTTAAAAACTGTCAAAAATTACACCATTTCCTTGCAAGAATTGCAACATACTATAATAAAACCCATTGTCCCTTAACAGTGCTGCTGATTTTTGTCACAACAAAATTTTGGGAGAGTAATGGGTACTCAGAATGGTCACTACCCTAATTCCTTGTGCTCTTTAGCAAGCTTGACTTTGCTCTCCCTTCACTGTTAAAGCCCCCACACCAATGGCTCCTTCTCCTCTTTAGTCTTTACTGCATTTGTTCTGTTGACCTTACTTTGTAACACTTTATTTTCCTTTTGGCTTCTCTGACACTTGTCTCTTTGGGTTTTCTCCTTTGCTGGCTCTGTCATTTTTGCTGGCAGTCTTTTTTTCCCTAAATGTTGGTGCCCTCTTTTCTTTATGCTGGATTCTCTCCCCTGATGATGGTCTCTATTTTCCAGTGCTTCAGTCACTACCTAGAAAATGAAACACAGGAAGTTCTGCTGGGATCTCTTTTCAAGCTCTAGACCAGTGTTTCTTGATAGGGAGAAGAATATTTTTCTCCCCAGAAATCATTTGGCATTATTTGCAACCATTTATTTATAGACCTGGAGTTTTCCATTTGAATATCCAATAGATACACTAAACTGAATAAGTACCAAGATACAGTTGCCATCTTTCTCCCTACTTCCCTGCCCAACTCAGTACTATATCATTTAGTGTTGGTACCAACTTAGCAATGCAATAGCTAAGACTATAGAAATATCTTGCTTTCTGGCACTCTCCAAAGATGTATGTCTTCCTGAAAGTATGGTCTATTTAGTTTTAGAATCTCCTTCCTCCTCTTCCTGTCCATCACTACCTGAGTTCAAGATCGCATCATCCTTCCTGGCATAATAAAATGCATCCATAACTACTTCTGTCTCCTTACCATCACCTCAATCCATCTGTCACTCTAAGGGCAATATCTGACTTCTTTCTTTTGCTCAGGAGTCCTTGAGGGTTTGCCATTCATTTCTACACAGAGAGACTTTTCATTATCTGACCCCAGCTTACCTTTTGAGTCTTTGTCTGTATCTTACATTTTCATCCTAAGTGCCTTAAAAATGTCTGCCATGAGAAGGCAATTAATGAATATCAAATGAAATTTCTGTGACTATTTGGGTACACATATGCTTCACTTTTTCTTGCTCTTATGCTCATTTTGTGATAACCTGATTAATTTAAGTGAGAGTGAGTCAGTATGTTATTTAATTTGAGATTCCCATTCTAGTCATTATGTCTTTACCCAACATCACATCACATGAGAGTTCCTTTTATCTTATAAAAGTTATTCATTGCTATTCTTTTTATTGCTATCTGGCTTTTTGCTAAAAAATTTATCTCAATACAGATCAAAAGAAAAGAAAAACTACTTATCAAAAGAGAACACTTTTAATGTTCCTGTTTAGAAAAGCAAAATTAACTAAAAAATATCTTAGAGGTGTATGTGTGTGTGTGTGTGTGTGTGTGTGTGTGTGATGACAAATTGTATAAAATCGAGGGTCAGCAGCATCAATTAATTTGCTGTGAGGCAAATATTTTTAATTTAAATAAAAAACTTGTTGTGAAGTTTGGGTAATTTGGTAAACATGTTCCTCAGATGTAATAAAGAACTTTCAAGTTCTGCCAACTCTGGATTCTGTTCATTTCTACAATAGACATATTTTCATTTTCTTTCTTTCTTTCTTGTCAGTACTGAGATTTGAACTCAGGGCTTCTTGCTTGCTAGACAGGTACTCTACAGTTTGAGCCATAACTCTTGCCCTTTATCTCTGGTTATTTTGTAGATAGGCTCTCTCTTTTTGACCAAGCTGCACTGGCAGGAAATCCTCCTGTTTTACACTTCCCCTGGTAGCACACCACTCCAATTCAGCTATGGTAGCTGAGATAACAGACACACCATCCCAACTCAGCTATGGTAGCTGAGATAACAGGCACACCATCCCAACTTAGCTTTTTCTGTTCAGATAGGATCTCACAAGTTGTTTTGCCCAGGTTGGCCTAAAACCACCATCCTCCCTATCTCAGTCTATCACATAGTTAGAATGGCAGGTGTGCACTGCCATATCCAGCTCTTTCTGTTAAGATGGGGTTTCACACACATTCTTCCCAGGCTGTTCTCAAACCATGATCATCCCAATCTCAACATCACACACTGGTGCCTGGCTCATATTTTCTTGAAAATCAAATAGAGTGCTCTTCTGACAGAAATTCTGCCATGATTTGGAGAGTCTCTGATCTTACCTCAGACACATATAGATCTGTGATTTCCTTACAACCACTATAATCTTGAAGATTTTCTTCTGCCAGGAAATTCAACAAATAGCAAATGTGTAACAATGGATTTTTTTTCTTCGTTGCGTTTCTCTAGGTAGTGCTTTCTAGAAGGATCTTTTGGGACACATCTCTAGAGTCTTTGGGTTTCTACCTATTATTAGTTCAACAGGCTGAAATGGTGCTTTCAGATTCTTATGTCTCCATCAGGGACATGGATGAAAGAACAGAGGAATTTTTTAATTGAAATTCACTGGATAAAATTCCAATAAATTTGTTGGAAGGAACTGAACTGTATTGTACAGAATAAAATTTTACGGGCCTTAAATATGTTGGTCTGAAACTCTATGAGCATTTTTTTAACTTTACAAATTAAATAATTGCATTTAGAGTTTAAACCCAAATCATTACAATAACAAAAAAAATTTATAATTCAATGATGGCTTATTTAAACCTGTCTCCTGAAGTATGTGCTACTTCTTTTTTCTTTTCTCTTTTTTTTGGTTGCACTGGGGTTTGAACTCAGGGTCTCACGAGTGCTAGGCAGGTGCTCTTCCATTTGAGCCATTCTACCAGCAGTATGTGCTTCTGATATATTTTAAATGGCAGTCTGGTTTTTAACATTTTTATGCCTAAGCAAATGGTTTTTAAAACTCTCCTGCATATTTCTGCCACCACTATAACTATATAAGCTTGCAATTAAGTACTTGGTATATTCAAACAGAAATGATCATTTAATCTTTTAATTGAAAAATGTCTTTGTAATTAGATAGAGAGTTATTTCTAGACTCTTCTCAGTGGCTACTCTCTTCTCTGCCTTCTTTGAGATATTTCTAGAAGTTGTGTGCATTCTTTGAGGACTCCTCAGAGTCCTCTGCTTTCTCCCATGCAACAGAAGCTTGCTTTTGATTTATTGATCAAAGGATTCCAGAATTACTACAACTTTAATAGTACCTATTGTCAGAAAAGAGGAAAATATTTATGTACATAAGGGACTCTGTGTATCAGAGTCATGAGACATGAGAATGGGGTACTTTTGATTTAAAATGTTATCATCATAGTTGATTATTAAGAAATATTAAAGAATAATTGACAAATTTCAGTAATTATTAAAATGAGTGTCTGCAAAGGCCTCTATTGAAGTTCAAAGTGGTATAATTCATACACTTTGACTTTCGTAACTTCTACCACTTCTACTGTAACCATCCAGATGATGCGTCAGTACTAACAATATGTGCTTTAAAACTATGAGGATATAAAATATTAAACCGGAAATGTTTTGGCACTTTCTTTAGATGGATGAATGTTACTCAGTTTTCATATGTATTTATTTTGTCACCTGTACCTTCCAGACCTAAGGAAGACATTTGAGCAGGAACCTCTGGGAAAGGAAGTGTCTTTGGAACAGGAAGTGCTACTCCAGTGCAGGCCGCCTGAAGGGATCCCAGTGGCTGAGGTAACACAATTTTCAGCATTTAGCAGTTGGCACTTAGTTATTCTAACAGAGGCCTAATCCGTGGCTAATGGTGCAGTGAATCAGGCCATGGCATGATGAATGGTTGGTAATGGAGTCCTAACTGCCTGCTGCTGGCAAAATAGATTGATTGGGAACTGATTAATGACTTGGGAGTCAATTAGAATGCCCTAGTGGACAAAGCCACAGGCAGCTAGGTTTAATTTTGTCATTCTCTTTCATGAAACCAGAAATACTGTTTTATTTTATCTGGCACCTATATAGAGAGATGTTATGACTTCATGTGCCAGCCATTGTATTAATATTCTTGATGATACACCCAAAAAAGGGTCAGGGTAAGAAGGGTATGTATGTGTGAGTGTATGTATGGTCTGTGCTGCTCATATATGTATTTTCTGTACTGTGATGTAATCATGTACATATCTAAAAGTCATATCCACATGCTATGAGCATGTTTGAGTTATAATGAGTATCAATTAGTTTCTATAAGTTTTCTATCAAACTCTTCCTTTTCATTGTTTCTGCTGAAGCAAAAACTGTTGATTGCTAATGAAGTATTACAAATCAGACTCTTCCCATGACTTTTCATTAACACCAAACAATGCCGTGCCCTTGGAAAATTCTTGTCTTTTGGGAATAGGCCTGCATGACCCACATCAAACTTTCTTTTTCCACAGGACATTTAAGATCTCCTAAAAACACTCACCATAATATTAGAGCATCCTGCTGAAGAAAGCTAATACCATGGCTTTCACTTTGTTAATAAATTTTCCTAAGTTCTGAAGCAAAGTCCCCTTCAGATGATTATGATGACATCCTTATGCATCCAACATGATTGCCCTAGCAGACCCAGGGCTCCAGAGACGCAGGCACACCTTGAAAGTGACATTCTTGCAACTTGTTGATAATTCTTGTTGGCCTCTAGACAACATTGAATCACTTGGAAGTTTTAATTTATATTGCATATGCAGATAGAGGCATACTTCAGTTGTTGCCTGAAAAAGCTAACCCATATTCCTTGGACCATAAATAGGTCCAAGGAATATGGGTTAACTTATTTTTCATAACATTCAACTGTAAAATTTGGCTTATCCATGAACTTGAAAAATAATACTACTGAGGTTTACAACATTGCTCAAAGAAGTGATTAATGATCAATAATATATTTACTATTTAATTTCTCATAGTTCTTCAGTGTTTTGGAGATTGCTGGGAAGGTGGGAATCAGCTCAGGTAGCTATTCCCACAATAGAATCAAACATCTGATGACTCTTTCCAAACTAATATTAATAACACATTAACTAATACTTAAGGAGAACTTTCCATGTTTCTGAAATAGCCATTTATATCTCTATGAGACAATGCAAAAACTCAGAGAAAATTTAATGATGTTTCCTTTTTTTTGCCTTGAAAAAGAGCTATTTTTTTCCCTTGTAATGGGCATCCAGTGGCACTTTTTAGCACTGCATCAGAGACTGTGATTGCAGCTATGTCATCTAACACCATTTCCTCATTTTCCAGCACTGAGACACAGTATGACTCAGTGTGACTAAAAGGAAAGAAACACTTCTCTATTCAATACTTAATTTCCATCATTACAATAGTGCATCTGTCTTCTTAACTGCAGTTCTAAAATTCTAATGCAAACCTCCTCCATTGAACCACCCTAAAGACCAGAACATATCTGAGTAACATGGGTATCCATTGCCTCATTTTCACATTGGATTCCTTGAAGCTAACTTATCCCTGAGAAGACTTTCAGTGAGGAGATCCTGGTATTCTTCATTGCTCTAAGTCCCCTCAACAAAGTAGTTCACTTTGTCAAGAAGTAAGGATTCATGCCTACAACTAATTGGCTGTGAGTTTTATTTGTATCCTCACTGGAGAAGAGACCAATTAACACTTGGCAAGCTTAAAAATCATATACTCATTTGCCATTCAAAGAACTATATTTAATGTATATTACTTTTTCTTTTTTTTTTCTATCTTTTTTTTCAAGTCAGAAAAGATCAAACACACATGCTCAAAAACAGGCTAATAAACCCCTGTGTAGATTCATTTCAACACTCTTAAAATTACCAGGATCAAAGAGCTTAGTGAATACCTTAACATGACACCTTACAATTGCCATTTTCTCAAGAGGAGCAGATTAATTTTAAAAGAAAAGGATGAAAGGTAACTGAGGGAGTTAAATGATAGTATGAACATTTTAGTTTAAATACGAATGCATTCTTTCTTTAATTTTCATTTATTTGTTTGAAGGATTTTAAAGCATAAAAGTAGCATAAAATAAAATATTGATCTTAAAGGGAAACCAGCAGGTAAAACACATGTGTTTTGTAATAATTAGATCAGTCCTTAGGGGAAATGGCTGGACTGGATATGTGCTCCTTTAGTATCCAAGGCAAATGATTCTAAGAGAGAGTCAGACAGTGAATGTCCAGTGAACACATGACTGATTAATTCATTTGATCTTTGCTTCATAAGCATATGACCAGCTCCATTGAGGAAGTAGTCAGGTACATTCTTTGCAGAATATCAGGAAGCAGTAATTTATTCTTCCTGTCCAAATCTGTAAGTGTTTCAAGAACCCTAATCTCAGTTATAATAGCACTGTCTTTGGTGCAAATAACAGTGTAGGCATTGCTAAGATAATAACAGTTAATTTCCCTGCTATTTTGGCATTCTGCAGTCTCTTCTGTGGAATGTACCTAATTTCCTTCCACAACTACTAGTTTAAATCCAAACATGATCATGATAATTTTTTTACTCTTTCATATTGGGGCAAGGTATTTAAACTTTTGAGCCTAAGTTCCCTCAATTATAAATGAGAGATAATAATAATATCTATGTATAATATGGTTATGATATTTAAATGAGGTGATATATGACCATTTAGAACATTCCAAAGCCATCAAGGAACATCAGCCATTATTCGCACTGTTATTATGTAATAACTTATTCATTTCCAAAAGACTAACTTCAACAACTTAAGCTACAAATTGTCACTGAGCACATCACCCCCGTTCTGCACTCTGTGGTATGTAGCAGTGTAACTTCTGTTCTATAAAGAATCATGCTGTTTTTGTTTAGGTGGGATGTCTGTTGGAGATGGCTTTGGTATCTAGACTGCTGATGGAGATTATGAGGGTGCTCGGCTCTTTGAGGTTTGCCCAGCACCACCATTGTATGTTGATTGACAACATAGACTGTAGGAGAGGCCAGACCTGGATTCCAGTTCTCGTCCTGACACTTCTTAGCTGTGTGACCTTAGGTGAGACACATTCTTCCCTGAGGTGCAGAAATAGGAAAGAATAGTCCAGTAGAGCTTATCTCCTCTTGATAATGTGAGTAGCAACTAAGGCAAGGCATGGTAAATGTAGCATTATGCCAGACATGTGGTCAGCACTTGATAGCCATTCTCTTCAAAGAGGGACTAAAGGAAGTCAGGCAGGCCCTCCTATGGTTTGAAATGGCTTAAATGATGAAGACTTGGTCCCCAGTGCAACAGTATTTAGAGGTGGTATTTTGGGAAGTGATTGTTTCATGAGGGCTCTGACTTCACCAATGTATTAATCCACTGATGAATTCATAATTTGATGGGCTATTTGGAGGTGACAGAAACTTAGGAGTTGGGATGAAGTTGAAAGGAGCGGGTCTTTAGGGGCCACTTTCCTCTGTCGCTCTTTCTGTCTTTCCTCCTGGCCACCATTAGGTGAACAGTTCTGTTCCATCTCATGCTCCCCACCATATTTTACCTTGACAAAGGCTCAAAACGACGGGATCAAGTGACCATGAACTGAAACTGCTGAAACCAGGAGCCAAAACAAATCTTCCCTTCTACAAGTTGATTTTCTCAGATTAATAATAAAAAACAGGACAGTGTGGGGATGGTTACTAGTGGGAAGAGGAGGGTGAATGAAGGAGATTAAGGTGATGGTATATGGTAGATGGACTTCATATACCTATATGAAACAGAACCTATATGAAGCAGAGAAGAAAAGAAACTTCTTGCAATTGCTTTAAGTGGAAGGGGGGTGAGGGGGAGAGACGACGGGGGCAAGGTAACTAATGTACAATATAAGGCTAATCAGAATTGTCACTATGAATCCCCCCTGTATAATGAAGATCTCCTAATAAAGATTTATTTAAAAAAAAAAGAATCATCAAGAAGGACTAAGGGAATGGCTCAAGTGATAGAATGCTTGCTTAGCAAGCATGAGTCCCTAAGTTCAAACCCCAGTACCACTAAAAAGAAAGAAAGAAAATTAAATGAAAGAAAAGCATCAAACCAGATATGGCACTACACTGCTGTAATCCCAGCTATTCAGGAGGTGGAGGCAGGAGGATCTCAAGTTTAAGACCAGCCCCAGGCAATGTTGGCGAGACCCCCTCTCAAAATCAAAACACAGATGAAAGGGCTAGTTTGTGTGGTTCAAGTGATAGAGCACTTGATAGCATGCATGAGGCCCTGGGTTCAATCCCCAGTGCCTTGAAATTCTGTAGCTTTTTGCTTCATTTCTAGCTTATGAATGCTAGGAATGAAGTTAACCTTGTGAGCTTTAAAATAAGAAAATGCTCTTTCAGCAATGTCACTAAAAGACTTGTTATATCCACGTGCACAGCAACTCACAATGTGTTGCTATCCTTACCCTGATCACTCAAGCTGCTTTTGTTCATTTTGTCCTCATGATCCAAAAGCTACTGAGCCAGTCCTCATATTTTGTCCCAAAGAGGAAATTTGGGCAGAAGTTACTGTTGATAGAGCTTCTTTTCAAAGCCCATGGAAAGAAAATCACAAAGAAAGTTTTAGGAAGAACCCCATACTCCTTAAGTTCCATCTCTCCAGGTGGTCATAGCTTTGACTAAGCTCTTTTCAGTACTTACTGGTTGGCTAAGAAAAAACATGTGGTGAGGACTCTAGGGATGAAACACAAGGGTGTAATAGCTCTAGATTTGGCTGCTTTCCTTCTCTAGTCTCC